AATAGTGATACAAAGATACATTTACAACACTCCCATGGGGAGCCCAATGCAAAGAACAAGAAATAAAAACCTAATCTACCGCCGGGGTCACTTGACCAGACGGAGCTCCCTCAGAAGTTGTGCCTTCAACGGCTTGGCCCTCGACCCCCGCAGCATCAACGGCCTCCTTCCCCTCAGGGAATTCACCTTCATCTTCATCATCTTCCGAGCCGCTAGTCGAACCACTGGCTGAACCATCATCGGAAGAAAGCAGAGCTGTCGGTTCTTCCTCTAGGGCCTTCACCCTCTTAATCTCAGCAGACAAATCGATGCCCCCGCACGCACATCCTCGAGAGCCTGTCTCCAAAATCTTAATCGGGCATGCTCCAGGCTCGGGTCAGCTCCAACTTGGCCTCTTCGGATACCTTCCTGGCTCGAGCATTTGCTGCAGCATCATCTTCTCGGTATGAGGATATGAGCGCATCGGCTTTGGACTTAGCTGCAGACAGCTCAGCAACTGATTCAGCATGGAGATCTTTGTACTTACGGCTTTCTCCCTTTGCCCCTTGGAGTTGATGCCCAACCGAGATCAGCTTCTCTCGAAGAGTTCCTTTATCGGAGGACACTTCATCCATGCGCTGCTTCAGCCCAAGGATTTCAGTATCTGTGACTCTAAGATCCTCTCGCATTAGATCATCTTTTTGCTTAAGCTGAAAGAAGCAAACTAAGTTATTCAACGCTCAATTGACAAAAGCATAGAAGTAAGCCCACGAAGGTCGTATTACTTGCTCATCAAGATCGGTCCGCTCTCGAGACATCCTCTCCAAATGTGCTCGACGGTCACTTAGCTCCCCATAAAGGGCCTTAAGTTTTTTCAATTCAGAAGCGAGCTTCCTAAATTTGTCCTCGCAACGCGCCAACTCGGCTTGTGACTTGGAAAAATCCTGGTTGGAGAGCATCAAGGCCTAAAAACACAAAGGAAGGGAGTCAGGAAAACAAGAATCGAAACTCAAAATACAATGTTCAAGTCAAGATTACCTATTTTCGAAGCTTCTAGGCTTCTTCAAGATCAATAAGGCATCGATATCGGGTCCTTCCTCAACCCCGGCAAAACAACCTTCAAATATAACATTCTCTCCGAGGGATGCCCCCACTGCGGGAGTTTTCATATCTTAGGCATCCCGTATTTGCCCAGGAGAGAATGATGGGCCCGGCAGAGGCTCATCTACAATGATCACCTCGAATGGTTTGACGGGGGCCCTCTCCCCCTTCCGAGGGGCTGCGTTATTGGTTTCTTCGGATTCGTCAACTAAGTTCCCCTCGGCATCCGATGTGTTTTGATTGCCGGTCGGCCCGGGGACTTCGTCTGAGCTCTCCTCAAAAATTCTCTCAGCCCGGGTCAGGGTCACCTCGGCGGCCTCCGTTCCAGCAGCCTCTATCTCAGTCACCTTCGGCTCAGTAGACTTCGAGGCACCAGCTCTCCCTCTCCCTCTGAGTACCAACTGGCAGTCATCATTCTCCTCGCCCTCTGCACAAAGACTTTCGGCCGCTCCCCGAGTTAAGGCCACTGAATCGGCCTCGGGCTTTTGAACTTTAGCCATTTTTGGCTTCGGGGGCTCAGCTGGTGATTTCTTCTTTCTCTTTTTCTCCTTAGCAGGCTTCGGGTTATCTACTCCCAGGCAGGTGTTCCCTCATCAAAATGGCCTCTCCAAGGCCTGCATATGCACAAAGGATGAGAGTTCTATCGAGAGATATCTTCTCTAAGGAGCTCAAGTGTGACAGAAATAAAAAGTCGCCATGATTTTTGGCCTCCCAACGGGTCTTAGCCAGATCACGCCACGCGCGCTTAGCATATGGGCAGATCAAATCGAGTCGTCGGACCCAACCCGGGAGATCCTTGACAGCATCGAGGTACCACTCGACAACTGTACCGTCGAAGAGATTTAATTCAAAGGCAAGAAAAGATATTCGATTAGCGAAACATGTTTACTTACGATTCATATTCCATTCCTCAGAGAATGTCATTCTCTTAGCAGGGATCAGGTCCGAGGTCTTGACTCGGACAAAGCGGCTAGTCCACCCTCGGTCCTTGTCTTCGTCGATGCTAGCAAAAAAGTCCTTCGAGGATCGACGTTTTAACTTAATCAGACCACCTCGATAAAGTCGGGGGCTATACAATCTTATCAGATGATCGAGGGTAAAAGGCATCCCCTCGGCAATGTTCGAAAAATACCTAACCAAATAAATGATCGCCAGAATGATGGATAGATTTGTCTAAGCGTCACCCGATATTGTCTGCCGAAATCGAGGATCACTGGGTCTATCGGTGGCGAAGAGGCTCCTACTGGGCCTAAGGTGAAAGGATATGTGTATACACTGAGGAAACCGGCTTGGTGCTTGGTTATGTCTTCTTCACGTGAAGGAATCTCTACTTGCACCACCTCCCCCCCAATGGCAGTCGGCCTTCACTTTCTCAATTTCAGTTATTAGACTGATGTATCAGACATGGGTTCGCATCGTCCCGGAACAGAGGAAGAGTTTCCGACCTGGAAATCAGAAGATGTATCACAAGGCCCGGGAGTACACTCCTCGATACTAGGGGGAACTACCATTTTACCTTTGATTACTCGGGAAGATGACTGAA